TTAGTGTTGTGGATTAACCCACAACCCAATCGCATTCATCCAACCCAATCAGAATAAGAATGTGGGTGGATAGTGAATCACAACTATACCAACTCACTAATAAGTGGGTGAGTTAATTTGAGACAAAAACCCACCCAACACGCCCTTTGCCCACAGCTAGCAAACAAAAACACAATGGATTGGGCCTATCGGGAGAATAAGTTTATGGTCTCTTGGCAAATTTAGCCCAGTTTAAGAGTATTGGGCTGTTGGCCTCTTTAACACAATGGATTGGGCTTATCGGGAGAGTAAGTTTATGGTCTCTTGGAAAATTTAGCCCAGTTTAAGAGTATTGGGTTGTTGGCCTCTTTTGTCTGATATTGGTCGTCATATGTTCTCTTTTCATTTCCTTGTAACAAAAAAAGGAGAAAATAGAGGTTGCACACGGGTCGGGTCACTGTAACGGGTCGATTGTACGCCCGTTGGTCGACGCCCAGTGCAGCTCTTCCCTTCCACTTCATCTGTCACCGAAAAGCTCTCTCCTTCGGCTCTCTATCTCCTCCTCCTCCTCCTGCTCGTTTGTAACTTAGAACTGTTATGTATCATCGGAAACACTGACCACGAATTCTTCCACAACTGAGCTGAGCAGCCGCCGGTGCGTTTGGTTGGTAAAAAGAACAAGATGAAGGCGTGACGAACGACCCTAGCTCCTGTATTTCATAGTGTGCACTTTGATTAATTTACTTCGTCATCACCCAATCATGAAAGCAGTTCAATCAATGTAAGTCTTCTCTGCCATTATCTTTCTATATAGATTCTAGTATACAAAAGAATTTGAGCAACCCTCTGTATCTTTCAATCCATCGAGTCAGGGTTGTTGGTATGGCGGCGTACTGTAATGGCGCTAGGAATAGCATAGTGATTGTTTCAATACAGTTAATAAGAAGATTGGAGCGTCCATTCATCCAACTTCTTTGACATGAAGCAGATATGAGAATGAGTTGAATTGTTATAGTCTGAAGGTTATAATTTGCAGAATCCTGGCCAGGGAAATTGGCATGAGACGATTACTGCTACTGGTTCCATATTGAGAGGTAGAGTTTCAGACGAATGTTTTCTTGCAAATGTACATTTTCATCAAATGGGGAAAGAAAATAGAAGTGCATAAACCATAAAAAAAGGTATGGAAGTGTAGAGTATGAGTTTACGATGTACAGTCAATTGTGTTTCAACTTTCGAGTTGCTTGCTTCGCAAATCTGCGCATTTGTGTTCAAAAGGATTTCGGTTCTTCTTGCCCACAGGTAGACTTTGAAAACAATTTCGTGATGATGATAGAGGTTGTCTTGTGCACTTGCATTGTATTAGTAAATGAAGGTGGATCTCTATTAATCGCCTAGTTTAATCATACTGCATCTGTGTTTTGCATGCATCTGTGATTCTGTTCTGGCACGAACTGCTGCACTATTCCTTCTGCTTGACGTACATTATGTTCAACATGTTTCGATGCTTTGTTATACTCGTTAAGTGTTCCCTCATTGTCTGAACATTTAACCGCCACACTGCTACACTAGTGATAGTGTAACTGTGCATATTCCACATTCCACCTGTCTATTGTGCTCTGTTCAAAATTAATGTTTTGGTCACTTTGCTGCTTAGAGCTGGAAGATCGCTCGGAGAGTACACCTTCTTTGATGTAAAAAAGGTCCTAACTTTTTCTATTTGAGCAACTAACTTCCCCTTCTCCGTTGGCTAGATTCTATATCGTCTTGATTGTTCTCAACAGGGGAACTCTCAGGCCATGATCTTGGATACCAGTGAAGAACATTGTTACCAGTCAGAAATCTTATTTCCGAGGCCCAGTGCTCAGTGTCCATGTGATTTAATCCATCTTAATTCATTTCCTTGTAACAAAAAAAAAAGGAGAAAATAGAGGTTCGGTGATGAGCGGCATGTGGTGTTGGATTTGTAGCTTGGTTTGGAAGAAACGTTGTAGGCGTGTCTTTGGAGAAGCTCCAAGGCCATGGGAGGTTGCCTTCTTGCAGTTGAGGGAAGAAGTATGAGTGCTAGCACAAGGGGATATAAGGTTTAAAGATGCAGTTACGCATAGTAGAGTGATAGGAAGTCTCAATTTACACTTTTGATTTTTCGTACTTTCTACTGTAAGATGTAAATCTGAGTTTTTGTGCGACTTGATAGTGATCAAGTGAGCTTAATGAAAGGACTAATTACCGAAAAAAATGAAATAAAATATTTTTAATGACGTATGTAAAACAATTTAGTAAACCTAGTGACCATATTCGCAATTTATCCCTTAAAGTTGGGCGTTACTATTGGTCGCCCTAATAATTTAAATTTATCCCCCTAAATCAAATGAAATTACATTGTTACCCTTTTGTTATAATTTTTCCTGCGGAAGTTAACAAAATCAAGAATGGACGGTAAGTCGGTAACCCATTCGACCCGGCCCATGATCAGATAGGTCGCATGCCCGCCCCGACGCATTGCCGACCGTTCGTCAGAAGTGCGGGTTGCCCGCCCTGATCCGTCGTCACACGTGTGACCTGCCTCTATCGCCTGCTCGTCGGACGGGTTTAAATCCCGGTGGCGGCTCTCTTCGTCCTTCTTTTGACAGAGCAAGGTGGCGGCAAAGGAGGTGCAGCAGAGGTGGTGGCAGGTCGGACTCCTTCGTTCTCAAGCTGGGAAGCGCCGGATTCCTTCTTGTTTTGATATTCCTCCGGTGCAGTGAAGGCGTCGAAAAAGATCAAGTAGTCGCTCGGATGGACAGTGATGTACGCTTGGTGGGAGACGATCCTTGAAGCGGCGACGGACACAAAATTGTTCTGGTGCAATTTTGTGTTCATAATTGAGGGGAATGTGATTCTGGTGTGATGAGAGGTTGAATCGGTTGTTGAAATTGAGAATTTTACAGTGGGGATGTTCTTTCATGGTTTGCTCTGTAATTGAAATTGAGAAATTGATCAGCAGCACATAAGTAGCAGCGATAGCGAGCTGGGCGGTGGGGGTCGGGGTTGGATCGCTTGCCGCCGCCAACATAAACGCAGCGACAGCGAGGTAGGTGGCAAGATTCTGGTTCTGGGTGGGGTGGGTAATTAACGGCGCCTATCTGGGATGGGGATGATTTGAAAATGATCAGGGATGGATTGGTGGGAGCGGAAGAGGTGGGCGGCGGCAGGCGGAGTAGGGTTGAGGTGAGAATTTGCTCAAGTTTCGTTACAAAATAGATACTTAAGGGTTAAAGGTCTTCCTAGAAATTACTAATCGTCGTCCTAACTTAATACGTAAATTACTTAATTACCCTTTTTAAAATTCAAAAACAAACCCTACACAAACAAACCTTCAGCAGCCGAGACAAACCCTCCCCTTCCCTCTACCCGATTGCCGACTTCCCCAGCAGTAGAGACCCGCCGCCCCAGCCCCACGCCGGCGGCCCACCGCCCCAGCAGCCCCACGCCGGCGACCCGCCCAGCTAGCCGCTCCCCCGTCGCCGTCAGCCGCCTCCCAAGTCGCCGTCAGTCCGCACTCCCTCGCCGTCCGCCGCGCCTCCACTCGCCGTCGCCGTCAGCCCCTCCTCCAGTCGCCTGCCGTCCGTCCTCGCCGGAGAAGAAGGTAAGTCTGCCGTCCTCGCCATTCATCGACCGAAGCCGCCGTTCGATTGGCCATCGGTCAAACCGACGTCAACGTTCGGTTGGCCTTCGGTCAAACCGAAGTCAACATTCGGTTGAGCCATGGTCAAACCGAAGTCAACTTTCGGTTGAGCCATGATCAAACCGAATGTTGACTTTGGTTGGACCATGGTCAAACCGAACTCAATTTTTGGTTGGTTTGATTTTTAAATAATTTTAATGCAATTAATTAATAAAAATTGTTATTAAATATTTTAAATTAAGTAATAATTAGAAATAATTGTATTTAATTATAAATAAGTTGTACATTTTATAATTTATTATAAAAATTAAATTCGAATAGTTTTATGAATTCAATTATGAAAAAAATATTGTGAATAATGTATTAAAAATTATCTGAAATTTTTAAAAAGTATCAAAATTTAGGAATATAATCTGTAAATTTGTAATTAATGTTAAAAAAATATTAGAATAATGGGAAAATTAAAAAGTAGTCGAAATTAGACAAAAAAACTAAGAAAGTTGTAATTAATGTTAATAAATTATCAAAAGGTTACAAAAAAGTTAGAGAAAATTATCAAAAAATGTTAATGCATTTGATTATCATTAATTGTAATTTTTTTTTGAAGATGTCTGGACATGGAATAGGCAAACCGTACATGAATAAGAAAAGAATGGAAGAAAAAACGGAAGGAAGAATGGAAGGTCGTGCTTGTAGACTTACAGCGACCGGTAGAAAAGAAAATGAAGAAAAAAATCCACGTAAGGTTAAGGGGAAGAAGAAGAAGGAGGAAATAGGGCGTCCCAACGGTCGCCCTACTATGGGACAGTTATCTCTTAGTCGAGGTACTACCTCCACCCCTACTCCTGAGGATGCGACGCCGTGGGAGGCTAATTGGAGTGATTCAGTTTCTATGGACGACGACGATGATGATGATGATGATGATGATGATGATGATGTGGCTGTTGATGAGGCTAGGGATGTCCCACCTGAATCTGATGTAGGCATCGGTAAGAAGAGACGAGTTGGGACATCTTCTATAGCTTCTTCGCACTTTCCACAGCGTGGGCTAGATGGACGCTACGTTGCGAGACGTAGTAGTGAGGAAGATAGTGATGGTAAGAAGAGGAAGAAGGGAGTAAGGGGGAGGAAGAAGGGAGTAAGGGGGGACATGTCGTGGCGTCTGACATCGGAGTCTCAGATGTGTTCAGGTGGACCTGTGATTCCCGATGTGATCCCTAGCTTTGGAGGTCACATTGCCTTTGCGTTGTGGACTTCCCCAGCGCAGGATCGTGGGTTGTTGGATTGTTGTCATAGATCTGGTAGTGTGGAGTCTTTGAGGAGATATGAGTGGAGTTCATAGGGTTCTTAGAAGGTGGTTGAGGGCACAGGATTGTCCCACTTGGCAGGGTGTATGATGCAGCATTTAGATACATCTTTGATAACGGCATTTGTGGAGAGATGGCAGCCGTACACGAACACCTTCCATATGCCATTTGGAGAGATGTCGATTCTTCTCCACGACGTGCATCACATTCTTCGTATTCTAGTTGAGGGGGAGCTTATGAGAGATGATCCGCATCCAGATGTTCTTAAGTTAGACATGCATGATCTAGTTCGGGTCCCGGTGGATGGTCCTGTTGGTGGTAAGTGGAAGTCGAAGTGGTTCCTTAATGGTGGTATACACGCAGAGGGATTGTTGGTGCGTGGACGAGAAATGAAGATTAGGGACCTGGAGGTGCAGACTTACTTGTTTGTGTTGTTGGGATCCACACTTTTTGTGGATAAGAGTCGCGATCGCCTCCGTCCTGCGATCAATGTATTTCTGAAGGACCAGCGACGAGTGGCCGGTTATGCCTGGGGAGCTGCTGCACTCGCCTATCTCTACAGACAGCTACGGATGGCCACACGAGTGGGGAGTAAGAGTATTTGTGGTTGTTTGACTCTGCTTCAGGCGTGGATATATGAGTACTTTCCACTCTTCCGTCCGAGCCAGATTCTCTAGGCTGCAGATGCTCCTCGTGCTTCCTCGTGGTTGTGTCACCGCTTTGCAGGTGGTGATGATGCTAGACAGCGCTTGGTACGGTATCGACAGATGTTGGATGAGATGTCAAGGGAGGATGTGTCTTGGACTCCTTACGGGCGAGATGTTGGCACGGAGGTACTACGCTCTTTGTATACTGGTGTCATTCGCTTTGCTGACGTTACTGAGGGTTATGATCCTGCACGGAGTCGCCGACAGTTTGGGTACCGACAGAATATCCCTCGTACGATGATGGTTCCCAAGGATGTGTACCGCCCAGCTTCTTGCAGCACCTACATCGTTTTCTGGGAGCGTAGCATGGATCAGTTATGGGGCAACTTGCCGTCTCATTTTCTACACATAGCGATTGATTCTGACTTGTGCGAGTATCCATCTGAGGCCGATGAGGATTACATGGACTGGTACCGGACTCGATCGCACCCACGGATCATCAATCCGGACTCTGGTGGAGTGTCTCTACAGCGGCCAGTGCTAGTCGATGAGGTTAGTTATGTCATAATTGTTCAATTTTTAATGTATTGTTAATATGCTTTTTTTTCATTCATGACATTATTTTTGTATTTACAGTTGAGGAAGCAGATTGTGGAGAAGCTTGGTCCTGTGTTGGCGGTGAGGGACAAGGATCACTATGTGGAGCATGCATCTGAGTACTACGATATGATGAGTGAGGTTCACGAGTTGTATGACCAGTTAGTCGGAAAGACTCCTTAGTGGAGTGTGGCATTTCTAGATTGTTATCCTTGTACTTTATTTTTATTTGGAATTGCTAGTTTGACTTTGCCCGTGAGATGATCTAACTTTTGGAATTTTCAGATGATTGGAGTTTGTTTCTTTTCCATTTCTAAAATAGTAAATCAAGAGTTGCATCAAATACAATAACTACAACTATATCTAACCATCAACCGGCTGGGTTTAATCTATCATAAAATTGGCATTCTTGTGAGAAGAATTGGTCCCAACCATGGACACTAGGATCATGATAAATAGGCCACAGCCCATTAATTGGAGGCAATGGCACTTGGCCAGGTCGAAAGTCAAGACGCACCCAATGACATCCCGTAAAATGTAGTGATACGATCCCACGTGGTCTTGTTACTCCTGGTGGGGCAATCACAGGTAGCACGGTATAACGACCGCCTTGACTATAAACAGCAATTACCCATGAATGCAATGTGGCAAAGACGAAATGCTCCACATTATCCATCCAGTGGGTAACGCCACAACCACGATCTTGAGTCCACCTGTAACGCCGAAGCCCATTATCTATTCCGTCGGAAATTCCATCGTAGTATGGTCTGTAAAGCTCAGGTCGGGCTTCAAGCTCTTCTACAACGACGCGTCTCATCTGCAACCAATTGTTTTGGGACCCGGTAAGTGCTTGTGATATTGCTCGAAATCCGCAATGTCCATCCGGTTCTGGGTTGAACCAACCACGAATGTATGGTTGCACGTAAGTTTCCAAACAATACAACCACGGGTAACTCCGCCAACCAGTATTGGGAGTCCTGATAACCCTCCAAGGGGCACCATCTGTCCCAAAATACACAACACAATGAATTAATACAAGATGTATACAACATCTAATCATCTAAAATAGGAACACTACTTCTAACCTGTATCATTATGAATATCCGGCTCCGTCCCATTCGTATTTGTGGACTCGAAGTTGGTGTCTGCATCAGGGATACCACCTAATATCATTTACAAAAATAAGTTAGTTATACATCATATTCTACACAATTGAACATAAATTTCCCAAAAAGTACAACCTACCTCTCCTCTGGTCATTGTCCGGTGTTGTGGTCGAAGGTATCGAACTTCTCCTGCCACGTCTCCTCTCCACATGCTTGAAATGAGATAGGTTTCGCGTGGTGGATGTCCTCGGGCGTCCGGGTCGGGGATGCCCCCCATGCGGCTCATTAATGCCATCATTTTCAGGATGAAGATGACTCCGAAGTAGGCCAATAGCCCCTCGAATGGTCTCATCTCCCCTATCAAGAACCTCCTATACTAGACCTTGGAAGACATCACGATGGTAAAGACTATCGTCATCCCACTCTGCCCGAGTAGGAGGTTCACGATAGTTCATAATGGTCCAAAAAGCTAACACCTCATATGGGGCAATGTCCCGCTTTTCAGAACATGCTAACTGCATTGCACATCTACATGGGAGACCAAAGATAGCAGGAAACGTACATGTACAACTTGCTCCTTCCACTAATACCTCAATGAGCATCAACCTCATAGCCTGTAGAGTGACGTTTGTATGCAACTCCCGAAATGGTCTTCCGTCCGCTAGTAACATCTTCTTTAATCTAGAATCCTCTGAAAGCTTTTGGATTTGAAGATGTTGAGCCTCAATGTAATCATGGTTCTTCTTATAAACCTACAAACAAAGAAAGAAAATTAGGATACTAGATTAAGTAAAACTTCTAAAGAAGACATAAATGAAAATTTATTAAGAGACTAACCGTGTCGATTGCACCAGTTGCTGATTGAAGCCACTTCTTGAAGGATGAATGAGCAGATTCAACCCGATTTAAGCTTGTATTACCCAAATGTCGCACTTGGTTTGTATAACATGTTGCCCACATGTGCTTGTTTGGTAACCACTCATGTGACAAGTACCTCCAAAGACGTGGATACTGTACTCCCCAACTACGCCTGAAACTGTCTAAAGCTCTATTCATGCCTTCCTCACTGCCGGCATATACAATCCTTTTCCAAGACGCCATGATCAGATCCACTGTCGGTTGGGCTGCATCTATCCCACAATGAGACGTCCTCCTCACCTCCGTTAGACACCGTGCTCTCACATTCCTGACTACATGCCAAAGGCATAGTATATGAGTGGATGATGGAAACATTACCCCCACGGTCTCAACCAATCCTCCTGCTTTGTCACTAACAAATACATCTGGAGTGATAGAGCCAAACAAATGTTGCAGATGCATGAGAAGCCACTGGTACGACTCTTTTGTCTCGTCATACACTAGCGCAGATGCAATGACAAAGTTCAATCCCACCGGTGTCATGCCAACCATCTCAACCCATGGAAACTCATACTTGTTGGTCTTGTATGTTGCATCTATCACAATGACATGGTGCCAAGCTCGCAACATCAATATTGACTTAGGGTGGGCTAGGAACAAGTGTGTAAGCACGTTACGGTCATCCACATACTGCACATAGTAACCCTTCTCCCGAGCATCTTGAAAAGTGTACTGTAAGGCCGTCCTCTGACCAAGCTCTTCTTTTCTTATCTTATACAATGCGTTAGAAATCTGTCTTTTGTTCACCTTTCCATGCTCCTCTTTTCTCTCGTTCAATGCCTTGTGGATATTCCTTGGGGCGACACCGGCTAATCTCAGTTGTCTGATGTATTGCTTATCATCTTCGGTCAAAACATTCCTCTTACTTGATCCATTCGGAAATAGCTCCAGCGGATGATTGTGAAAACCCAAATTAGCACTAGGATTCTTTGTATTAGCCACTGCTAGTATCAACCAATATTCATCATCTGACCGCTCAATCTTGATCTGAAATTCACACCCCAACTTTCCAGAAGACGTAAGAGGCCTCCTTTCCTTAGCCGGATCAGAATCAGGAGCCTTCGATTTTTTCTTCCTACCATGAGTGCACTTCAAGTATCGTCGCCTACTATCTTCATTTGGATTTTTTTTATTTGATGCCTTCATCAAATAAAACCCAAAACCCTTGGCAATCTCAGTAGCTGTTGCATATGCAATCAAATCCGTATCGTATTTTACTCCATTGACGAATTCTGAGGTGAAATCTTTGCCATCCCCTCCGTAATCATCAATATCCAACAATGTTAGATCTCATGATATAAGTAGAACTCCACAATAATAGAAAATCTAACGACTACATTTAATTTAACAATTATCACAAATAATTTAGCATTCTGAATATTCTCCTAAGCAAAATCCAACATTTAACATGACAAAATTTAGCATTCTCTATTATTTACATAAGAATCATATTAATCACATTCTAGAATTTTTTTATTGCGTATTATACATCTAATCTTAATTTTGTATAAAAAACATTCAATTTCACAAATAATTAGGCTCGTAAATTTTAAAAATAATATAAACTAAAATTCAACAAACAATCATATAGACCAAACTATAAATCATAACAAAAAAATAGAAATATTTGATATAAACTTAAAAAAACCCAAAAGCCACCAACCGAAGCAAATTTTCGGTTCCACCATGGCTAAACCGAAGCCAATTTTCGGTTTCACCATGGCCTAACCGAAGGCAGGGTTCGGTTCTACCGTGGACCAACCGAAACCAATTTTCGTTTCACCCATGGCCCAAACGAAGCAGATTTTCGGTTGAACCATGGACCAACCGAAAATCACATTCGGTTGAGAATTTATTTTTTTTAAAACGAGATTTTTACCTCGTCGGAGTCGCTACTCATTGTTCGGACGTATGCTCGACGATTTCGGCTTCCAAATGTCGATGATGAATTGAGAGTGTGGGAGAATGAGTGTTTTTTGCTTTCTAAGTGAAGGTGATGTTTGTTTGCTAAAGGAAAGGTAAAGGTGTTAAAAGGGTAAAAGTGTAACTTTGTTGTTTTTTAGGACGATCATTAGTAATTGTTAGGACGACCTTTATCAACTCCCAATAAATATAGGGGTAAAAGGATCAGTCTGGTACAGTTTAGGGCGATTTTCTTAAAAATTTAGGACAACGAATAGCAGTTCACTTAAAGATTAGTGGCAAGTTTGTAATTCAGCACGGAATTTAGAAAAGAAACTACACCGTTTCTTAACGCTGATCTTGACAAAGAAATTGAAGTTGTGACTTGTGAGTTGTGAGCGCCAAATTCCGTCCAAAGGGACAAAAAAAATCCCTAGTTTTCCTTTACTCGACAGCCGCTGCTGCTTCTGCATCTCCTCACGCTGGCAGGCCGCCGTTGAGCACTCGCCAGTCGCCACCGGACACCGTAGTTGAAGAAGCAATACCAGTTCCTCCACCGTACGCTACCTCGGTTCAATTGCCTCTGTAAGATTCTAACCCCTCCGCCGCCGCCTCTTCAGTCGCGGAGACGGTGACTTCAGCTTTCAAAGATAAAATTCCTTTTTTCTTATTTCTTTGTCTGGTAGATTTTTCGTTTAAGTGGTACCAGGTGTTTTCATTTTTTTGTTTTTGTTTGATTCACTTGATTTCCTCCCATTGACAGACCAAGCACCCAGTGCGCATTGTCATTTTTTCAAGTTTTCAGTTATATTGTATAAATTTTTAAGCTTGTAGGCGCTCTAAGATACAGTAGCTATTCGGTTGATTTGAGGTTTATCCGTGTAATTTGTAGCTAGTCGATTGATTGAAGAATTTGATACAAATAGATATGCATGTAGGCTGGAGCTATTTGGTTTTGTATGGTGCTGCTGGTAATATCTATTTTAGTAAGGGACATGATATATCCGCTTAGGCTTAATATGATGTTGAGTTCTTCATAGGTTGATATGGCATTACTGTAATCCTAGTTCAATGGTATACCTTAAATCGTTAACTTGGTTGACAGTCTCTAGTACAGTTTCACAACCCTTGGTTTCTTATCCCTCGTTTTGCGGTTTTGCAGCTAGATAAAACCGAGATTTCTTGCATTGTATTAGTAAGTGAAGTTGAATCTCTATTAATCAACTAGTTTAATCATACTGCATCTGTGTTTTGTATGCATCTGTGATTCCTTGTTCTGGTTGGTACCGTTGTACTATTCCTTCTGTTTGATGAACATTATGGTCAACATGTTTCGATGCTTTGGTATGCTCTTTAAGTGTTCTCTCATCGTCTGGACATTTAATTGCCGTAATCTGTTACACTGAGCTTCACTAGTGACAGTGTAATTGTGCCCCCACCTGTCTCTTGTGCTCTTTTCAAAACTATTGTTTTGGTCACTTTGCAGGTTAGAGCTGGAAGATTGCTCAGAGAGTACACCTTCTTTGCTGTAAAAAAAGGTCCTAACTTTTTCTATTTTGCAATTAACTTCCCCTTGTCCGTTAGCCAGATTTTAAACCTTCTTGATTGTTTCTCAACAGGGGAACTCTCAGGCCATGATCTTGTGATATCAGTGAAGAACAATACTACCAGTCAAAACCCTTAACTCCGAGCCCCAGTTATTTGTGTACATTTGTTATTTAATCCATCTTCTTTTGGAGTTTGAGAACAAGTATGCGCGCATTGGCCCTTTTGGGCCAGCGCATGTTCTTTCAAGTTATTGCTCAAACAACTTGCATTATTCGCCTACCCCTCTGCAGTGCTCCGTACTGTTCCGGCCTTTTCTATGCTAAAGCAACTGATGTTTCCTCGGCAAAAGTCTTGGAGGCAGAAGCTCAAGAAGAGCAACCACCAAACTCTCTATCCTTAAGAATAGAGAAGCTCCCAAGAGGAGTGCCTGTTGGATCTGCCTTCCAAAGCTGGATGGGTGAGGGGTTCCCAGTTCATAGGGGAGATATCTTTCATGCAATGAATCGGCTCAGGAAGTGTAATATGAACAAACGTGCGGTTGAGGTAAGTACATGCTCTCTTTCTTCCTGAGGACTCTTCTTATTTGTTTAGGATAATGCTAGTTTTAGTCCCCATACTATTGTGTTATTCCTATCCTACGATTTTAACAAAATGTTGCTGAACTTTATCGTTTTGTTAGTGTTTTAGTTCCTCTTGTAAAGATTTCATCTGAATCAGTTACAAGCATGATTGATCATGATTCAAAGCACGTCTCAGATGACTCAAGTATACTTGAAATTCTTGTTTTGCCACTTAATTTGACTCTGAAATTCCACAACTTTCATTATTGTGATGCATTCTTCATTTGGAGGGAGAATTTATGATATATTGTCTCTATCGCAATTTCACTGATCCGTTTATTCTTTACTTAATATACTATTATTGATGGAAATTGAGATAGGTGATGGAATGGGTAATCAGGGAAAGACCATACAGGCCAAAGGAACTCGACTACTCTTATCTCCTGGAGTTCACGTGCAAGCTTCATGGGGTACCTCATGCCGAGAACCTCTTCTCTCGTGTCCCACCCGAGTTCCAGAACGAGTTGCTCTACAACAACCTCGTAATCTCCTGCTTGGACAAAGGAGTCCTGAGGCTCTCCCTCGATTACATGAAGAAGATGAGGGAATTAGGGCACCAAATCTCGTACTTAGTCTTCAATCGCCTGATCATTCTCCACTCTTCCCCTGGCCGCAGGAAATTACTCCCTAAACTCATGTCCCAAATGAGGGCCGACAAGGTGGCACCACACGCCTCCACATACAACATTCTGATGAAGATCCAAGCTAGTGAGCACAACATAGAAGGCCTGTTGAAGGTATTTGCTGACATGAAACGATCACAAGTAGAGCCGAATGAGATCTCATTCTGCATATTAGCCACTGCTCATGCTACAGCAAGACTGTACACTGCTGCTGAAGAGTACGTCGAAGCAGTGGAAAAGTCTCATACAGGGAAGAATTTGTCAACGCTGGATGTTTTGATCATGTTGTATGGTTATTTGGGGAAGGAGAAGGATCTCGAGAGAATATGGGGAATTAAACAAAACCTCCCTCGTGCTAGACCCAAGAGTTATGTCCTAGCAATTGAAGCCTTTGGCCGAATTGGGTCAATTGGTCGAGCAGAGGGGCTCTGGTTAGAGATGAAGTCACGACAGGACCTCAGTTCGACCGAGCAATTCAATTCGATCTTATCTGTGTACTGCAGACACGGGCACGTCAAAAGGGCCACTGCCATTTTCAGAGAAATGGAGGCTAGCGATGGCTGCAAACCGAATGCAATAACTTTCCGACATCTCGGGTTGGGTTGTTTGAAAGCCGGGTTGGTCGAGGAAGCCTTGAAGACTCTTGAGATGGGGTCGAAGATGAGAGCGACTAGCGGAGTCAGGAACTCGACACCATGGCTGGAAACGACCCTTGCTCTCGTGGAGGCTTTCGCGGAGAAGGGTGATGTGGTGAATGCCGAGAAGTTGTTTGGGGAGCTTGGAAAGGCCAAGTATATAAGGTATACTTTTGTGTATAATACTCTGATAAAGGCTTATGTGAAGGCCAGAATGTATGATCCGAATCTGTTGAGGAGGATGATTTTAGGAGGTGCTAGGCCTGATGCTGAGACCTATAGCTTATTGAAACTTGCGGAGCAGTTTAGTAGTGGCTAGTAACTGAGCTCTAGCCATTATGGCGGCTCTGTTGTATTTGTAACATTGTATTATTTTTCCATGTCATTGAGATGGGTTCTATCTTCTCTCACTACTGCAGTAAATGGTGATGATGATAACTTGATAAGTAGGCAAATCTAACTCAAATGTATTTTGGAGCCAAAACTTCAGGCTTGATACAGCAAAATCATAGATTGATAACCAAAAAAATTCAATCTTTCTTTGTAGTTACTACTTATTGATCTACAGACTCCCAAGTCCTACAGAACAATAAACTTCTCGTCTCCAACCATCCACCTTTGTGTTAGATTATTGTATTATAAGAACACTCACCTTCAGTCTTTCACAACTAAGGATGACAATGGGTTCTGATGGAGCTGATTTTCCAATGAACCACGGTTTTAAATCATAATCATCCCGTTGATCAATCCTGTGCGGAATGTCATATGACATACCAAAACCAATCAGTAATTTAATCTGTTTTTCTTCAACATAAACTGTGGTTTTCAGCCCAATCCGAAACGGAATGACAGGATGTGCAAGTCCTGCATGTCAGCCCAGTCTAGAACAAAGACCGTGTCTGTGATGTGATGTCTTCGTCTCGAAACGACAGCGTTCAATGTCGAGCCGGTAAACTTTTGGCCTTCTGGTGGGCGGCAAACATCAGGCGCGGTTAAACTTCAAGTTGGAGCCTGGAAGAAGGCGGCAACCGATCGACGCGCAACTTGTTGCCCAAACAAGCAATCGCCTTCTGATGCAAGATAGAGCGGTGACCCAGTTTGGCATTTTCCCTAAAGCATAGAAATCAGTTGGTAATCGAAGAGTGTTGTTACTGCTTGAGAAATGAAGTGGTCGTTGCGATTGTAATGTGTTTTCTTCTTATATTGATTCATTGATTTACTGTTGCTCACTGGACACCTATATTTTTGTAGTTACAAGTTCCAGAAATCCCGCTGTCTGATCTGAAGGAGAAGGCCATCATGGGGTTGTACAGTTCAGTCCCTCTGCGAGGTTTGTTCCTTTTTCTACTGGAGATATATATGCTTTGGCTCTATAAATTTCAATTACAGTAGGGTTAAGGGTGGCCTGTCCGATGATTAGTTTATTGGTGTTGCTTAAACAATGTTTAAGTGGGGGATATAGGAATAGAATGAGTCCTAAAGTTACAACCTCGTGGTAGTGGAGATTTCCCGCATCACTTGTCGAGGGCATCGATTTTCTGTGCAGCAAAGAGAAGGTGTTGTCTCTTCGGTGATATCACATGATATTGGAACGAGACTCGATACATAGAAGATTAACATGACCCTGCGCAAGGATGACACGCATAAATCGAGAATCTTTTGCCCTCCTTGTATTTCTGCATCCTCCCACAGTAGCCAGTTTGTAATTTGTGTTTGAAATGGTAGTGCTGCTTAGATTTAGCAGCAGGCATTATCTAGTTGCTATACTTCTACTGGAGCCAGTTATTCAATAAACTCTATTCATCTTGCTGTTAACAACTGGAGATGATCTTAGTTACTGGAAGTGATCAGTTCAGTTAGTCATGCTCTTGTAATCTGCTGAAGTAGTTCAATTGTTCAGTACCTGTGTCTCCATGTGGAGCATTGCTTGTGTTAAAGACTTAAAAGTCAATTATCAAGTTCCTACCCTTCTACTACATTTCAATTAGCCAAATAGGTCTGCTCATCCTGTGGAAATTCGCAACTGGAGAATGGCTGAAAGCAGTTGGTTTGGTAAATTAGAGAAGAAGCCATATGTTCTCTATTCATGATTCTGCCTGCTTGATAGAGACAAGGGAGAAAAAAGATGCTAATATGTCCAGGTTGGTTCGATTGGTCGCTTACTTGTGCTTATGATATGCATCTGTTCCTTGGAAATTGATTGGTCAACCAAACTTAACCTTCATCAACAGTTTCCTGGATATCTCGAATCATTGCGCTGAAGGTATGCCTTTTCCTTCTTGCGTTTACCATAAAGTAATAGACCTGGGTCTTTTGGCTTTACGACTTGGGAAGTACGGGAGAGTTGGGCATTCTGGTTCTTCTGCTGCATTTAGTTTGTTAGTTAGACTTGCTTTTTAGCAGTTCCTTTTTCCTGTTTGAACTATCCTTATTAAGATTTACTAGGAGGGAGGGAGGGAGCATAGAGTCATAGAAGCCTTCTTCCTTTTCACAATGTACCACATCACTTGTCTTCAGTAGGAACCCAGCATTTATAAAGCCATGTGAAACTAACACTACTGTCCCTTCGGGGACATCCGATAAAATTGGAACGATACAGAGAAGATTAGCATGGCCCCTGCGCAAGGATGACACGCATAAATCGAGAAATGGTCCAATTTTTTTTTTTTTTGGATCCTTCCGATTCCGATCTCTGTCCCTTACATTGTTCTTGTCTGCCTTTGTTTTGATCTTTTGGAGTAATGTTGTGAGCCAAATATGTTTCCTCACCATTTTTTAAGAGCCCAGTTATATTTTTCTTCTTTCTTTAATGATGACTTTCATATCTTTTGAAGGTCCTAGCATAAAGATTGAAATGACCCATGTCAGCTTAGGTTGACATGTTTGGAGAGTACTTAAGAGCTGGAACAGCATACGAGTGGAGTATGTGGCCTCCCTTTTCCACTGATTGCTTGTTCAAGGTTTTTCCTCCGCGGTGACCAGTTAATTGAGCTCAACGATACTGCATTCAGAAGCTAGCTACTTGAGTTTGATCAAAATAGCAGCCAGATGGGCCATTGTCAGGTAAAAGTGCACACTTCACCGGACATCGAGCCCCTTCCTTTACCGTCATTGTCGCTTTATGTTCAGATCCGTGCTCATGAATCCTGGTACCTGCATTGCATGAACACAGTTTATTTTCATCTCAGGATGCCACTTTGTCAGGATTCTCGAGTAGCCATTTACAGCTGCCTTGGATATGCTGTATGCTGGCTGCACCGATGACCACATGCTGCCATTATTAAGGTTGTCGTCTTTGTAATCCTGAAGAAACCTCTTCAGAATATCATCCAGCTTATTCTCACTCACTGTCTCAGCATTCGCATTCCCAAGTTGTTCCCTCATGTCCTTCCCTGAAATCTGCCATTGCAAGGTTAAAACACATGATGTGAGCAAACAATTCGAAAAACAAGAGTGCGAAAGAAGAAAACAGGCATTCAACAACCCCACCAAGATGTCCAGATTCCTTAACTTCTTGGTAAGAAAATCGGCCTACTTATGAACACTGAGGGAGTCAAGGACATCAAGATGATGGAAAAGCACATTGGGAAAGCGAAGGCTTGAAGCTGCATCAGTCCCTCGCTTTACATCTCTGACTTGAACACAACTGTTGTAAAGGTGGCAGGGTTGATTCCCTTGGGCTAGACATGTAGGGTGCTGAAAAGTATGAGATTTCCCTTTAGGGATTTTACGTGTTTCTTGGTTTGATGATCTTCTTTGTTCATAGTCAGAAGCTTGCGGAGTCCAGTTGAGGAAGGACCTGAGACTGAAAGCATGGCGTTTGTCAAGTAAGGCGCTAAAGGTATATATGCCCTTTCCTTTCTGGTTTACCATAAAGCAAATGACTTTGTATTTCGACTTTACAACTTGGAAAGTAGAGGAGGTTTTGGCATTCTGGTTCTTCTGCTGCGTTTAGTTTGTTAGTTAGACTTGCTTTTTAGCAGTTTCATGAATAGAAAATTAGGAAACGAGAAAATGAATAAGGAAGCAGGAGGCAAGTATTTACCAGGAGAGAGAGCATAGAGTCATAGATATCCCTTCTAGTTTACAACGTACCACATCCTTTCTTTTTGAGTGAAGGCTCTGTGTTTATAAATCTCTGTCAAACAGATGCTGCCGTCCCTTCGGGGACATCCGATAAAATTGGAACGATACAGAGAAGATTAGCATGGCCCCTGCGCAAGGATGACACGCATAAATCGAGAAATGGTCCAAATTTTTTTTTGGATCCTTCTGATCTCTATCCCTTATATTGTTCTTTTCAGCCTCTGCTAGGCTTCTATTGGATTCAACTATTCAATGTATCTAATCACCTGTAGAGTTTTAACAACATGAGAGCGGAGATCCTTTTCGATTACAGGAACTGCTTGGTTCAGTACATTACATAAGAATCTAGTATATGGTGTTCTTTGTGGTGTTCCTTTTCTTTCGCCATGTTCAATCCAAACCTGGAAATAAAACACTGGTAGTAGTCTCTTAATCTGCTCAGCAGATTAAACTATTCAATGTATCTAATCACCTGTGGAGTTAATAACTGGAGAGTAGAGATCCTTTTCGATTACTGGAACTGTTTGGTTCAGTACATTACATACGAAGCTAGTATATGGTTTTCTTGGTAGTTCTCCTTTGCTTTCGCCATGTTCATCCATACCTGGAGATAAAACACCAGTAGTCTTCTCTTAATCTGCTAAGCAGTTCAGTAACACTGTAATTTTGTAGAGGTAACTAATGGATTACTGGATGGAATGACTAATGATAAAACACCAGTAGTCATCTCTTAATCTGAGTTGGTGCCTGAATCAAACTGCTAGGCTTCTACTGGATTCAACTAGTCAATGTATCGAATCACCTGTAGAGTTTTAACAACATGAGAGCGGAGATCCTTTTCGATTACAGGAACTGCTTGGTTCAGTACATTACATAAGAAGCTAGTATATGGTGTTCTTTGTGGTGTTCCTTTTCTTTCGCCATGTTCAATCCAAACCTGGAAATAAAACACTGGTAGTAGTCTCTTAATCTGCTCAGCAGATTAAACTATTCAATGTATCTAATCACCTGTGGAGTTAATAACTGGAGAGTAGAGATCCTTTTCGATTACTGGAACTGTTTGGTTCAGTACATTACATACGAAGCTAGTATATGGTTTTCTTGGTAGTTCTCCTTTGCTTTCGCCATGTTCATCCATACCTGGATATAAAACACTAGTAGTCTTCGCTTAATCCTTCCCCTTCCCTCTCCAAACTGTGACTAGGTGGTGTGTTGCGACCGTTAGTCTTACTGCAAGACTCTTACATCATTTACTGGGTTCATTTTTCGCTCCATATGGACAACCAAGCAAGTAGTTCGTCTCGAGGCTTCTTAACCGTCGGTCGTTATGACTTATGCTGTGTTTCGAGAGTTCCACGGGTGCTTTACGGAGAACAGAAGCCATCTTTTGTTGATTCTGCCATGATTAGCTTAATCGTTTTGGTTAAACAAATTTTCATCAGTGTGCCTGCTCTTTACTTACGGATGCTGTCCCTGCTTAACAGGACTGTCTTCTTTGCTTGTTTACTTTGTTGACATCCCTTTGCTTACAGGCCAGAAGCTGCAGAATAGGAGAAAAGGAAAGGACCTTCAAGAATCGGCCTTTTTACCTTAAGGAACAGAGCTAAGGTATGCCCTTTTCCTTTCGTATAAGTAAATGATTACAAGTACTTTGTATTTGATCTAGGCACTTAACGATAATACATGCCTTTGAATAATTTAATAAAGGTTCTGCTTGGTCAGTTTATATGAGTTTAAGAAGTCATGAACCATTGGGGTTCATGCGACAATAAGAAGTACCACATCGGTTGTTTTGGTGAGAATAAAGCCTTTATTAATTCCTGCAAAACCAAAGCTGCTGTCCCTTCGGGGACATCCGATAAAATTGGAACGATACAGAGAAGATTAGCATGGCCCCTGCGCAAGGATGACACGCATAAATCGAGAAATGGTCCAAATTTTTTTCCCTTCCTCCCCAGTGTATCATAAACCTGTTGGTTTTTTAAAACTAATGATTCTCCTAGCTTTTGCAGGTGCTAGCATAAAGATTAAAGATCTCCAAAAGAAGCTTTAGGTTGACATGTTTGAAGGTTTTTCTACTAATTGCTTGTTTCAAGGTTTTTCCTCCATGGTTGCCAGTCAAACAAGCTCAACAATACAGCATTCAGAAGGCAGCAACTTGAGTCTGATCAAAATAGCAGCCAGAAGGACCATCATCAGGTAAAAGAGCACACTTCACAGGACCTCTAGCCCCATCTTCCACTGTCATGGTCCCCGTATGGTAGTTCAAATCCGTGTTCACGAATCCAGGATGAACACAGTTTATCTTCATCTCAGGATGCCTCCTCGCCAGGATTCTCGTGTAGGCATTCACAGCAGCCTTGGAGATGCTGTATGCTGGCAGCATCGATGGCCACGTTCCGCCAGCCTCGAGGCTGTCATCTTTGCAATCTTGCAGAAACCTCTTCACCATATCATCCAGCTTGTTCTCATTCAGTGTCTCGACGTCTCCAAGTTGGTTCCTCACATCGTCGCTAGGGATCCTTCGTAGCTCCCCTCGGAGGGAGGAGATGTTAACTATCCTGGCACCACAAGTGGAGAGCTTGAGGAGTGGGAGGAGAGCCTCAGTTGTTGCCTTGACGCCATAGAAGTTGGTGTTCAAGCATTCCTCTGCCTTCTCATAGGTATGCTTCACTGCATCCTGAACCAAATGAGCAGCCTTACCTGAAAGCTGCCATATATTATGATGGTGTTAAAACACATGAGGTGAATCAAATGATGAATTTTTTTTTTTGAGCAACTTCACAAACTCACCCAAGTTTCTGCGTCGATTTTCAGGCTCTTGATGCGTTCCTTGTCCACCTCGACTTCAGAAGCTCCAGCATTGTTCACCTGCGCCAGAAACATTAGCCCCCTTCAGACGATGAATTCCCACAAATCGAGAGTGCAGAAAGAAGAAAACAAGCATTGAACACTTCTCACCAGGATGTCAAGTTTCCCAAACTTTCTGGTGATGAAATCGGCCAACCTGTGGATGCTGAGGGAGTCAAGGACATCAAGCTGATGGAAGATGACATTGGGAAGGCCAAGGCTTGAAGCTGCTTCGGTCCCTCGCTTTACATCTCTGGCTGTTAGCACAGCTGTGACTCCATGGCCAGCCAATTGCTTCACTATCTCCAGCCCAATTCCCTTGTTTGCTCCTGTTACTACTGCAATCCTGCAACTGCCATAAAGAAACAAAAAATTTTTAGGGAATGGAGAGCATTCAAAGTGAAGATTGAACTTGGGTTTTGGCTGGTACTGAATTTACTTCGCTATTGATTGCATTTTTTTCCTTCTGTATCTGTGTGAAGAGTACTGATGCTATTGTTTGACCTTTATTTATTTGCAACCTGCCATGGAGAAGTCAATAATTGGAATCCAGTTGGATGGTGAGTACAGAATTCAGTCTGGTTGGTTGTGAGATGCCTCTTTTTGTACAACTCCAGTTTCATCTCTTCATTTCGTCTCTATTTGTTTTTTTTTTTTTAAGAAAATCTTGATGTGAGAGTGAATTTGGGCGGTAACCTTGATGAATTAGAAAAATTAAATTTATTAAATGTCATGAATTTTAACGATGATCATATAGCATGTTATATTCAATAGTGGAGCATCATGCATGCATGGTGATCATGAACCTTTTCTAGAGATAAATTGATTATACAAAAAATATGCATAGTACCCTATGCTTTAATCATGGTTAAAAGCCAGTGTAAAGAAGATCACCCTCCAAATCTTGAGGGTGATCAACCTTTAACACCCTAAAAAACAAGGTTCAAACTCCAACCGTACAAATGAATATTTGGAGTGAAATTAAACTTATGAGGTAATGGAATTCATGATGATTAGCCAATAATAAAGACATGCATAACTATACATCCGAAGCGAATTGAGGTCATCATGAATATTAAACATGTAAGAATATCGACAAAAGAAATATATGATATAACTGAGCTTGTTTATCATTAGGATGATCGATTGTTAAACAAAATTATTTTATATACTCAAAGGTTGAATTTGTTTGTGATTGGAATTTAAAGTTTGGTTTTGTTTGTAATTCTATTCCCAGCAAAATGCGTAGTAAGCCCAAATCAACTCAATCAACAAAATAAGTCGTAGGACCTTAATTTTATTGGGTCAACACCTCTTTTGGTTGTGAAAATATGAGAACGTGGGAATTAGCCTTAATTCTCACGTTATATATACTATGATAATTGTCAAGTGAATATTGGCTAAAAGTTCCACGTTTAGGATTTTAAGAAGGGTTAATACCTTATTTTGGCCCGAACTATGACCATATAATCAACTTTGGCCCGTGGTTTCAGAAATTAACATCCTGGCCTCAACTATGCAGCATATAGACTCAATTGGCCTGACACATAGTTTGACCGTCAATTTGGACGGTCAACTCCGTTGACCGTTAGTCAACATGCCATGTCATTGCCTAGTCAGCCTAAAAATGATTAAAAAAATTTAAATTCAAATTATTTTCCTAATTTCTATTATTTATCATTTTCCAATTAACCAAAAAATAAAATTCTAAAAATATAAAATAATTTTTTTGTGATATTTTAAAATGATAAATTTTATAAATTAACCAAAAATTATCAAAATAAATTTTATAAATTTAAAAATTATGATATAAATTATATTTTTGTGGGAAATTTTAAAAATATAAAATACATTGATAATTTTTATTTAATTTATAAAATTTATCATTTTTCAAATTATCCAAAAAATAAAAATCAAATTTATTTTATGTTTTTTATAATTTATTTTTGGTTAATTTGATAATAAATAAGAAAAATTAGAAAAATAATTTGAAATTTGCATTTTTTTAATGATTTTTAGGCTGACTAGGCAATGACATGGCGTGTTGATTAACGGTCAACGGAGTTGACCGTCCAAATTGACGGTCAAACTATGTGTCGGGCTAATTGAGTCTATATGCTGCATAGTTGAGGCCAGGATGTTAATTTCTGAAACCACGGGCCAAAGTTGATTATATGGTCATAGTTCGGGCCAAAATAAGGTATTAACCCTTTTAAGAATGTGGACTTTAAAGTGTACCAATTTTCCTCTTCCTTTGTGAGATGGAAGTAGGGATGACAACAAAACCCGAACCCACGGGTACCCTACCCGATCCAACCTGCGTTGACGGGTTTCGGGTCGGGTTTGGGTTTAAACTCGTACACTATTCACCGGATTGGGTTGGTTTGGGTTTAGGGGTACCTGATCCATGGATACCCGCTCACACTTATTTCGTCGCCCTACTCTCCCCAAACCCTACCATAATTCTAATTTCCTCCAATCTAACTCTTACTACACTTATTCTGTGTGAATTTATTGAGTGCAATTGTGATATGTTTGAATTTTCTAGAATGATGTTTTATTTATGAATAATTTGTATAGGAAAATTGATGCTTGAATTTTATTTTGATAGGAACTTGTAATTATAATTTTTTTACCACAGAAACCCATGGGTACCCATGAACCCGCGGATACCCAGCGGGTTGGGTTTGAGTTTTTCAAACCCAATGGGTTTTACCCCGGATTTTTTTGACGAATAAACCTATGAGTTTGGATTTGGGTTTGGCAAAACTCGACCCAACCCGACCCATTGTCATCCCTAGATGGAAGAGAAAAATGATGGAAAGGAAGAGAGATAGAATTGGTTAAGAAAAGAAAAACGTTGAAATGTCAGAATAGATTGGATGGATGTCGTAATTACAATTTCTATGTCTGTGAGATTTGAACCAAATTATCATGCCTCAATTTTCATGTTGCTTTTGTCTTGCTAAACATGATTTTTTTTTTTTACCAAATTATCACAGTTCGTGAGATTTAAACTCAATTCTCACACAAAAATTCCACATCCCAACAACTCCTAAAATAGTAGAATTTTTTCCGATTGAACCGAACTAGCTTTCTTCCCGGCCCGTTGGCCGGATCCGTTAACTTTTATTATTTTTATTAATTGATTTATTTGGTGAGAATAAAACTTTTTCTTTGGCTGTTATTTATTGTTTGTGTGATAATACGTGCAGAGCAATTTTTTGCAAATTTAGAAGTATTCATCATTTATCGGTAAAGGAAAACTTGATAACATCTTTAGTTAATAATTTTTATATATCTGATTATTTTATATTGTATTTCATAATTTTATATTTATAAAATATAATAATCACTTTCAAAATAAAGCCTTCAAAAAGAAATTTAATTTCATATTGCAAACCTATATTTATAATAAGCATCTTTACGTAATAATTTTGTTAGCTCTGGTTATGGTATATTACATTTCATCATTTTCCCCATAGATTAATTAGAAGGCATAATCAATTTCTTTGATTTAATAGAACATTTAAGATGCAGTTTTCTCAGCAATATGAGGAATGGATGGGGTTGCCGGTGAATGTGCCTCCCATGCCTCTCCCCCCCATGGGTCCACGTCAGATTTGCCGGGTCTGGCTGCTGGACTTACCTGCCAGTGGAACGGGGCTACCAGGAAGGGCTCCCACTCAGCAGGTGGCATGGTACTTCTGACTCTCTCGGGGGATGTTCTTATGGCTAATGGGATTCAGTTTCAGGGGATTGATGACCCAGCTGTGGTGGAGTTGCTTGTGCTCCGGAAGGCTGTTGCTTGGTGTTTGGGTCTGGGTTTTACGGGGATGAGCTTTGAAGGGGATGCCAAGATCATCATTGATAAGATCAACTGCAAGGATGCTAGGAACAACCGGATGGGTGCCGTTTTGGAGGAAGTATTGCAGTATTTTGGTAACAACCCTGGGTTTAGTGTGCGGTTTGTAGGTCGGAGTAGTAATAGGGTAGCCCATTTTGTGGCTAGAAAACCCCTCTCTTTGTACCCGACTATGAGTCGCTTCTTTGATTTTCGGACCTGACTTGGTTCCAGGATGTAACTATCTATGTTTTGGTATCAATATATGATTATCGTTTGTAAAAAAAAAATATCATAGCTTCTTCACTCATCTCTTAGGTTGTTCAGCAAGTAGATTATTTCAAATCCATATCTATAATAAGCATCTTTACGGAATAATTTGTATACATCTGGCTATTGTATATTATATTTCAGCATATTTTTTTCAAGTTTTTAGAATAATTAGAACATGTGATAATCAATTTCTATGATTTAATTGGAAATTTAAAGTGGCCCTAGCTTCTGTACTCATTTTCTTAGGTTCTTCGCAAAGAAGGTTAAGCATTTAACGCATCATTTGCTTATGATCTCTATCGAAGCATCCTTCGCCAAACAAATTATTAGTATTCAAATTACTAAAATGTCCTATAGGTACTGCACTTAACATTTGTTGGTTCTT